AGCCCAACAAGTTGATGCTATGAATCGTCCTTAAACGATTGCGCCACGTGTTCCAACATTTTCATTAATCAGTTTACTTAACTGTGTCCTTTACTGTCTCATTTGAACTTCTTTTACTTCTCATGTGTATAATTTATCTGTGAGTTGGCCACAGGATGCTACAATAAACCCTCCTCCACATCCTGAGACTGAAAGTACCTGTTTTCGAACTGAGTGTAACTGAGGACAGAGCGCTGCAAATATTACTTGAGGATTATATTGTTTGTTGTCTCCGTGCTGAGAGGCACATCTTAGAGAATGTGTATCACTTGTTTGTATAACCTGTAGACGTGAAGAGCTCTCAGGAGCTGCATCAAATTAGATTCTTCCCTCGCCAGATATGTGAGCTCATTTAAGCTGCTCGGCTTTGCATTCTCGAGAAATACTTCATCACCGCAGCATGCAGTGACCAGACATGAACTCCAATCGCCTTTTCTTTTCTCCTGAAACTTCCCCGCAGCTCATCCACTCTGAGGACATCACGCCAAATGCAAAAAAAAAGAGCAGCAGGCTGGCGGTATAAGAATGAAAAGTATATTATCTGTGCAAAATGTCCCCCACACTGGAAACATCACAACGTTTTTTCTTTTTTTACATATAAAGTACAGAGTTGTGAAATCATTTCTGATGCCACCTCACCTCCACAGTTCGTGCTGTTGTAACTATTTTTCCCTCTCGGGCAACAAAGGAGTAGAAATGAGACCTGGGAGATTTCCTCTAAAGAGATAATTATCCCTCTCCTCTTCCTCATGAGCTTCTCACCCAGTGTCACTCTTGTTGCCTAGTAACCAACCAGGGTAAAAAAACTCGGCGTGACCCTGTTCTCCAGCGAGGTACAGTGGCGGCAAATCGTCATCATCATCATCATCGTCTCACAGCTTTTCAAGGTTATTGATAACAGAGAAAGCAAGCAAGGACAGTGATGGGACGCATTGGCGGCGGCCTTTTAAAGCCGCCTCTGTCAGTGCTGCAGATTTCTAGTCGAACAGCGGGGCGCAAAACAGAAAGGAGGAGTGATGCAACAGAGACGAGATCGAAAAACTGACACAAGACGAGAGAGTCTTGCAGTAACCTTATGTAATGTGGTTGGTGTACTGTAGGTAGAGGGATTGTGTAACCAGACGACGTAGTTCAACAAGACGAGCTCTTTTTACTCGAGTTGTTTCAAAGATCTTAATTGCAATTCAACTTAATAACACACTTACAAGCTAAACCCCTTCTGCTGATTCTCCTCCACACAGTACAGTGCAATTACCAGTCACTTATACTGCACACAGAACAGTTACGTCCACTCGGTTGCAGGCAAAACTGTTTCTGGTTTTTGATTCATCCTAAAAGTAACAGTTCAGATGCATTATATTAAAAATACAGGGTTCACAGTTGGAGCTCAATGCAACAAAAGTCAGTTCATGTTTCATTACTGAGATTCAAATCTTTTATTTTTTCAATACCTCGAGTGTCCGCCTTTATTTTTTGATGCACATATTTCTGCAAAGATGCTCTGACAATCTTCTGAGACTCTTTTTTTTTTTTTCTTTGCTGGAGGGTTTGTGCTGCTCTGCTTTTCACTACAAAATACCCCAAAGATGTTCTAATGAATTCAAGTCAGGCAGCACACTTGGTCAGGTTGTAGTTTTCAAGTTTTTGCTTTTTTTTTTCTTTAGAAACTCTTTTTGTGATTTTGTGCTTTGGATGGTTATCATGCTGAAATATTCATCTTCTTCAAGCTTCTGCAGGCTGAGAGTCGTCCTGTCAGCCAGTGTTTTGGTCTAACCAGAGGAATTCATAACGAATCTGTAAATGTCATCAACAGCTTTTGCACTCATACAGCCCCATATCATCACACTTTCACCTCACTGTCAGGACTAAGCATTCACTGTGGTACACCTGGCCACCAATCATGATCAATCTGAGCCCAACAATTTATATTATATGACCAAAAATTGTGCTCCAACATTCATCAGGTTTGTTTTCGGGTTGGTTGGCAAAGATTTAGCTTGCAGGTTTGTGTCAAAGAGCAAGCAAGGGTTTTTTTTTCCTGTGCACAATCCATGTCTGAGCTGTCACAGAAACTCAGATTTCTACTGATAACCTCTGTGCCACATTTAAAGCAGCTGCACACTCCCATCTCTGTGCTTCACTGTCAGGTCGATGCATTCACTGTGGTGGTCCTGTTCAGGTTCACACCAAACATGCTGGACTCCATCAGAGCTGAACAAATTTATCTTGGTCTCATCTAAACAAAGAATGTCCCCCAACATTGATCAGGCTTCTTTTCACGTAACAAAGTTTTATCTTGCAGTTTTGTGCCAATGAGCAATCAAAGTTGTTTTTCCTGGATGCCATCTATAGACGTTAACAAAATGCATTCTCCTTTACGCTTTCTCACAAAAACTCAGACGTCCACTGATAACCAATGTGCCAAGTCTGAAGCAGCTGTCCATCTGTTTTTCACTGCTAGATTGTGAAAGCAATGCACTGTCCGTGGAGTCATTTCAGGAGGACGACACTGCAGCTCTGATTCGTGGTACTATGGCTCGTCTGTACCTCCTGATTACTGCACAACACAACCGTGTTTCACTGATTATGAGCTGGTCACTGACCTTCCTGTATCCTTATTCGTTGTTGTGAAGCTTCACAATTAGATTTTTCACTTCCTCTTGTCCATGTGGAGCCACGATGCAGACGTACAGATAGACACAGCTCATAGGTCCAAAACTGAGAAAGTTCTGGTGTTTATAGTTCATTTTATTACTGTGTTCATGCAGTTAGACTGATTGGAACTCACGGGTAGATTCAGTTTAGTTTCACAGATGTATTCACTTTTATTGCATTGCGTTTTTACTTTGGGGGCTGATTTTTCAATATCTCAGTCTTTCCCCTCATTTCTGGAGTTCCCTCCCAGAGAATCTCAGACTGGCAGCAACAGTATCTTCTTACAAAGCATTACCGAAAACTTCTTTTAAGTCCATTTTTTAAATTGGCTTTACTTTTTGTATGTTTAACTTTGGTCTTTTTATATTTTACTGTCAGTCTGCTTCTTTTCCATCCATTGCATGGTGGTTGTTTTATTTTGTTCTTTTGTATATTTGGTGTTTTATCTTGTGACAAATGTATAAAATTGTTATTATTGTTTTATTGTGCACATTTCATTTTGTGCTGTTTATGAATGGACTACACATTGCAGCAACTAATCACTGAATTGTAACCTCTGAACAGCTGCCTTCTTCCACAAACAGATGTGGAGATTGTCTACATTTTACCTGCAATGCCTCCATGAAGGAGTTTACTGTGAAAATGTTTATAGTGATAAAGCAACATGAGTGAAAACAAGTTCCCTGGAAATATTAAAGAGGACGATGCAGAAGAATTTAGCTCCACAAGATGGTGCTAATCCTCCTGTAGGGCGGCAAAAACCCTGCTGGACAGCAGAATGAGAAGAAGATGTGATGCTGCTGTTCCAATACAGAGAAATAAAAAGATAAAACATACAATTTACCTTTAGCCAAGTGAACTACACATAACAGATCTGTGTACAGTATAAATGACTGTTAATGGCATCGTTCTGTGTGCAGGAGAATTGAAAAAGGGGATTGAGTTTGATCGTCTGATGTGTATCCCAGCGCACAGGGAGACTAAATGGAAATCCAGAGTTTATTGGTGTAATAAAAACATTAATGTGATTGTGGTCTATGAACAAACGTGATGGATGAAAATGGAAGACAAGAAAGCTCTGAAGTTGTTTTATTACTACATTTGTTTGAGTTCATCTGAGATAGACCCTTTTCTGTTTGTTTTTCTGACTTTAATTTTAATTTCTGCCCTTTTTGTATCTTGTACTTTAAAACCAGCTCAATATGTTTCTTTATATTGATTCTGTCGACCAGTTTTGGAAAGTATGACGTATATGTACTCAAATAATGTAGTTAAGTATAATCTGAGGTACTCACAATGTCAAGAGTTTTTTATTTGTCACATGCTCGTACAGTGTGTGCAGTGAAATGCAAAGTGACTCTTCTCCAGGCTGTGCGATAACACTAAGACATTATAAAACAGGAAATTAGAAAAAAAAAACTCGTACTACATTTAAGTATTTTCATTTTCTGCTACTTTTCCCACTACGCTTCAGAGATAAATATTGTATTTTTGCTCCACTATATTGATCTGACACCTTTACGAAGTCACAATGAACAAATGCTCCATGTTTTTGTTCCAACTTGATTTAATATATTTGCAAAAATAAAATAAAAAAATAAGAGAAAAACTGAAAACAGTTTGTGCCTCTAGGTTTTTTATTTCTTTCCTCTCCCTTTAATCATGTTTGGAGCCTCAAATTGATCTTCTTTGTATTTAAAACTGCATATAAAGTAGTTCAAACCTGCAGCAGCTCCAACAGTAACCTGCTGCTGACACACTGATGCTTTTTTATTATTGAGAGCAGCTTATTAACACAATAATATATCAGTCAGAGGGACCAAACCTGGACTTTAACTGCAGTAACGTAACTAAATTTTGCTGCTTTATACTCAAACGGGATTATTTATGCAGGACTTTAACTTGTAATGGAGTATTTTCATTTTGCTGTGTTGTGAATGCTTACATTTGTCCACTGGGTGGCAGGACTCACATCTCAGACCGTATAGCTCATCCATCCTTAAATTTAACCACACATACCCACTTAAACTGAGATCTTTTTAATATTTCGCTTTTCTCTTATTATTTTATTGATTGTTTAATTCAGCATTCACTGTGTCTGGTGTGGACTTGCGTTTAAAGGAGTGCATCACGCTGAGTTTTTATTATGTTATTTTTATTTTTTTATTTTTCGTTTATTTTATTTCTAGCTATGCAATTACAGTTTCACATCATCTGAGAGATTTTAAAAAATAAAATATAATTCCGAGGTTTCGTATTTTAAAAATCCGCGTTTGCAGCTTTAACTTCCGGTGAGGTCAAAGTTCACCAGTTCGCCTCTCAAAATGGCGGCTGAACCAACACGGGAGTGGAGCGACGAGCAGCTCAAAAGTGATGATTTGCCCAAAAAAGACATCATAAAGTTCATCCAGGACAATGCAGCTCACTCGGTACGTGTGTCACCTCAGTCTCCTGCTGGTTTCAGCTTGAGTGTTTGCATTTTACGGTGCAAATTGTCCCTCTGAAGTGCAGCATGCTGCGTGGTTAGCTAAAGGGAGCCACACTAGCAGGGATGTTGTAGCATGCAGCAAAGCAGAATGCACACCAACAGCACACAGTAAAAGCTCTACAGCAGAGATGCAAGCATTGTTTGTACATCTGACCCTGAGTAGAAACTGCTGCATTTACTGTTTAGCGTGATTAAGCATGAATAAGCTAACAGCTGTCAGTGATTTGATCCTGACGTGTTAGTTAAACAAATGAAACTCTGCTAACTTTCTCCTCTTTTCTGTCCCTCAGTTCCTCAATGAGCACAAGCTGCTGGGAAACATTAAAAATGTCGCCAAGACGGCAAAGAAAGAGCAGCTCATCATCGCCTATAATCAGCTGTTTGAGAGCAAAGTAAGTGATCGTTTCCAGGTGACACTGAAGGAGCAGCGAGAAGGGATGCAAAAAAAAAGTCATATAATTTATGTCTCTTTTGTAAAGGGGATATTAAAAGTGTGTTTCTATATTATGAATAAATGCAGTCCTCCTGTAGTGATGTGTACATTTAAGCTGAATGAATTAGGGCTGCACAATATTGGAGAAAACTGACATTGTGATATTTTGTTATTCTGAAATGTATGTTGGAAAAACACATGAAGTTCCACCAGATGATGTAAATGACTATATTAGGAAAGAATGAATCAGTCTAGAATGGTAGGAGTGGTTTTGTAGAGGAGTGTATCTCTATAGGATACAAAAATAAATTCAGATATGTTGTTTAAAACACTGGCAAAGCAATCTAAATTAGTTTATGGCTTTGGATGACACAGCAACATTTTTTGCTCACCATCATCTTTTCTGTTGTTGAACTATTTATATATAGCAGATGCTGTTTTTCTGTTTTTTGTCAGTGTTTCTCTCCTGTTCTTGGCTCATTTTTCCGTGCACACGTGGAGCCTGTGTGTCGACAAACTCTGTGTCTTGTGAATAATATTAAAGAATAAATTAAATCAGAGTAAATGAAGTTATATCAGACAAAATTCTTTTGAAGGTTAGTCGTGTAAAACGAAAACTTGTGAGATTTCTTTTTGTATCAAGCACCAAATAAGTGATGTGTTTTGAGTTGGTTTTCCACCACCGTTCCTACAATGTGACTACTGGACATGTGCACATTCTGGTTTCGATGCTGAAATGATATATTGTGCAGCCCTTTGATGAATTCAAACTGTCAGTCCGTTGTGTTTCAAGTGGGGATGTTTTTACCCAGAGTCAGTTTATCAGCTGCAGTTACATCGTTTAGTTTTGTTCATTCATAGATTATCGTGCATTACACATCACATGATTCCTGTGCTTGTGCTTTGCAGAGGTTTAAAGGCACAGAGCCAATCGAGGAAGTGACCGAGCAGGTTAAAGCTGTGAAAATAGAAGAAAAGCCCAAAGAAGTCAAGACAGAAGTTGTGGATGAGGTACTGGTCCAGAATGTTAAATATGAATGCTTTTGTTCTACTTCTACATGTCTATGGACCCATTATGAACCACTCCTTTTTTATTTACATCCTTTACTGAAGCAATAGTACAAATAAGATGACGTGAAAGTCATGCATTGGTAATGTTACTTAACTAGCAGTGTATATTATCACAAACGTGTATGTCAAGTATTAAAAGTACTCAAAGTAGAAAAAAGTTGTTTTGTGTGTAAAAACTTGTAAAGCTGTCAGATGAATTCAGTGAAGGAAAAAGTAGATTATTTCTCTGACATGTAGTAAACCAGAAGTACAAAGTGTCATGAAAAGAAAGTACTGTCAAAGGTAGGCTTAAGTACAGTGCTGGAGTAGATGTACTCAGTTACATTCCACCTGCTTGTCTCAGGGTCCTCCTAGGTACACGAAATCAGTGCTGAAGAAAGGCGACAAGACCAACTTCCCAAAGAAGGGCGACACTGTGAGCTGCTGGTACACCGGGACGCTGGAGGACGGGACCGTGTTTGACACCAATATTCCCACAGGTATGACATCTCAAAGTGGCACTACATGCACTGAAGGGGTTTCTGATGTGTAATATTTTAAAGAAAATAGCATCTAAATTCTAATTCTAGCAAGTGGAGCTGAGTTTAACGCTCTGGAAATAACGTTAGAGATATCAATAAAGTAATTTCAACCTGCCAAAACCACTGTTAGAGATACTGGTAATTCAGTTTGAACTAGTAAAAAATAATAGTTGAAAATATGACAACTGTCATCATGACTAGTCTGAATTATTTTCCAGTTCTGTCTCATGTGAGGCTTCCAGTTGGATGTTGGTCCAGCAGAGCGTTTTAACAGCGTTAGTGGAAGTAATGGCAGCTGCTGTAAGGGATTAGAGAGACTGGACAGAAAAGAACGTGAGCGTCATTCATTAGACCTGTCGTTGAAATGTACTAGAACGTGAGTTAGAGCTGTGACATGGCGGTACTGTAGCTGTCACATGCGGTTACAGTTGCAGTGCCGTCGTGTGTTTGAAAAGCGAGCTGCCTCCACCTCCAGCCTGCCGTAGCTTCTGCTGCAAACATCTGCAGCGTCATTGCACCCTTTAAACTATGTTGCACACCCGAACTAGAAGCCGTGCACTTATCCGGCCGTAGAAGACGAGTCCAGCCTCTCCGTGCAGCCCTCTACCAGCAGCCCTGTACGTGGGTCTCCGGCTCTGCAGACAGACCCTTCCTATTGGATCCGATCCCGCAGCAGTTCACAACGTTTCCGGCCTCATTTACTACTGCTCATGCGCAGAGCCGAGAACGGCTATTAGTGGTACTATTATTTAATACCAAGTTTTGGTAATTTAACCTTTAAATTACAGCTTCATGTTGCTGTGTC